ATGAGTAGTTATGATTAGCCTCATGTGAACTAAGAGCACACTGACTAATATATTCTATTAAACATCATTCTAAATATTAACCTATCATACCTTACAATTTAAGTATTTTGAAAGTAACCTTCAGGTTAGTTTACCCTCATTTATATAGAAAATAAAATTAAGTGAAACTTTTTGATGATATTGAATAGTTGAAAGAGCCCAGTTAGTTTTAAAGTAACAATAGGAATTCTATTAATTTTTTATGATTCTTAGGATAAAATCACCTCATAAATCATATATCACCAGTGATGAGGAGTGGAATGGAAATTATTCTTACAGGAGGAAAGATCAGAAGTGGAGCCCCTCATTTTGCTTCCCTCCTCACCACTCCCAATCAACCATTGGGCAGAACCAAGAGCACTTTATGATCCTGAAGGTGTTGCCACTTCAGGGCAGAGTTCAGTGACCTACCAGTACAGTTCCACTGTTACTTTCATGTCATACTAAAGATAGTTCCTTGGCAGGGATGGAAAGATAGCTCAGCACTTAAGAGTATTGGATGCTCTTGCAAATGACCTGGGTTTGGTTCCTAACACCCATGTGGCAGCTAACACTATCCTTAAATCTAGTTCCAGGGGCTCCAATGCCCTTTCTTGACCTCTGGGCATTGCACATACGTAGTTCACTTACATGCATGCATTCAGGCAAAACACTTATGCACATTAAGCAAAACTAAATCAAAAATTTTAAAGGATAATTCCTTTGGTAGGATCCTGGGACCACTGATAGGAAGTCAAATAAGCTTAACACCCCAAGCTAGGCTGTGGTCACTCTTTCATCAAATGTTGCTCAAGGTTCCTCCAAGTCCATGATTCACACTTCTCCCAAGTTATATTCACCTACTTTGTCCAAATATAAGTGATTCTTTAATGAGATTACATGAAAACTTTTAAGTTATGGACCTTCTGAAGTTTGCCGGCCGTGGTGGCACACGCCTGTAGTCCCAGATTTTGGGAGGCAGAGGCAGGCGGATCTCTCTGAGTTCAAGGCCAGCCTGGTCTACATAGTAAGTTATAGGACAGCTGGGGCTACAGGGAGACCCTGTCTCAAAAAGACCAAAAGAATTTTTTTAATGTCCCATATTACAGCAAAAAACAAAAACCCTCACAAATTCACATCACTATAAACTTCCCAATCAACTTGAAATTCAAAAAGTTAGTTTGTTGACTTAAATTCAAATTCAGAGCTGTCCAACACCTACCCTAAGTGAAAGAAAGTGATTAAGGTCTTCTATGAAGTTATCTGATTATGTGAGTGTTTTTTGAATACCAGTTTATAATTCATCATCCCCAACTTTTTGATCAATTCAATCTCATTTAGATGGATTCTCAATGCAGGTTGGAGTTGGGAATCATTCTTCAGCTAAAACTTGTTTATTTCTTGGAATGGAACAATTCCTTCAACATTGTGATAATTAAATACACTTTCACTGCAGAACCTTGTATATTTCACTTTTATAGATGGTATACATAATATTCTTTTAGCATGGGTCCATGACAACACAACTTGAAAAACAAGCCAATTCCAAGTCTAAAAGTTCTAGTCTAAATCGTGGTCTAGGACCAGAGGACATAGTGTAATCCAGCAGCAGTTACCCATGACCTTTATAGAGATACAGTAATATTTCATGAACACCTTGATCATGAATGTCTTCATAGTTTGATGAGATAAACAAACCAGCTGTGTGGAATATATGAACACAGTCCATCTCTATACAGGTCCTCTCTCATAATTCCTCTAGCATCAAGACATTGCTTCCTTCCATAATAACACCACAATGGTGACAGCCACAAATCTTAATCCATGTATTTAGATATGTTTCTTTCTGACCTATATTAAACAAACCCTCTTTAGTTTCACCTGGTTATTGGCTCTGTGGTTGCATCCCAGGATAAACTAAGTGGAGCTTGTACATAGGCACACAATATTTACATAGCCATGAAAAGATGTTACTACCACCTCTAACTATGGATACTGATGCCTAAAAAAACCTGTCTCTTTTTTATCCCATGTATACAATTATATAATCCAAAGGAAACTTGAGAGCGTATTATGGATAATGTCTCAAGCACACAGGCACTGGGGTAGAAATCCAGGCAAAGTGGGAGCCAGGCATGGTGTCACATGCACTCAGGAGGCAAAGGCAGGTAAATCTCTGTGAGATAGAGGCCAGCCTGTTCTACACAGTGAGTTCTAGGCCAATTGTGGCTACAGGGAGATCCTAGATCAAAATACCTAAACAAACAAACAAAAAGCAAAGTAGAGTTTGAGAGGGTATCACCCTATCACATGTTATCTACCCTGAACTAGCTAGAACCTCACAGGTAGTTCAAAGGTCTTAAAATTTGAAAGTAGCAATTATTTTTCCCCCAGGCAGTGAGAAAAAGGCCCATATTTTCTTTATTTACAACTTGTCTTATTGAGGTTCCATCTCATGTTGAGACTTCAACTGACCCTGGCACTTGTGCTGAGGCCAGCATCTAGGTAATCTGGGATCACCCAACAGCAGCCCCTATGTGCATACTCTCACCTTTTGACAAGGTTTCTCATGGTCTCTTCTTTGCTGAGCCATTGAGAACAGATTTTACCACTGAGGCTGTGAGCAGGTCTTGTCAACAGAAGTTCCCTGTATGGCTGGCATTTGATTGGAGTGCTTCAGTAGCTTAGGTCTCCAAGGACTGTGCGGCTGCTGATGCTGCTCAGACTCTCTGCCTTTCACCGAGGTCACCAACCCGCATTTGTGCTGAGCTCCCTGCACGATATACTGAATAGCTGCTGCATCTAGCAATGCCTGGGAGGCAGAGGAGTGGGGAGGACAGACTGCTATTCATCTTCAGACAGAGCCCCCATAAACTGCAATGATTCACCGAGATAAAAATACCACATGGTCAGTGCTTACAGCCTTTAGCAGTATGCCGAAGTCAACAGTCAAAAAATAAACTATGCACTTTATACGTTTTTTTAAATGCTGACCCATGTGTGAAAGTTCAAGCCCTTCCACATGAACTACACTCTCTAGCTGAGGCTGTTTTTCTTTCCTCTATCCCTGGGTATCATTTTCTGATATTCTCCTAAATCTAATTGCTCTACTTAAATGACAGGGCATTTCCACTCTATCCCTGGGTATCATTTTCTGATATTCTCCTAAATCTAATTGCTCTACTTAAATGACAGGGCATTTCCAAAGGGGCAAGACTTCACCAGAGACCCCCAAACCAAGAATAAATGCTCTTTAGAGGCAGCTCAGCTCCTAGAGGAGTGAGAAAATCAGCTAGGCTGGGTTATGACTCCTGGATGCAAAACTCAGCATTGCAATAATGGGGCTTCCTATGCATGCAGCAAACCAGGAATGAGTGACTAGTTCCTCTTTTCTTCTATTTGTGTTATCTGCCAGGAAAGTCTTACTGCTTTGATAGAGTACATGATTCAATTAAATAAACTTCTGATTTGTAATAAAAAGAAGTTAAAAGAAAATACTGCTACATTTTCTAAGAATATTTATTATTTTTATAGTTTATATATGTAAGTACACCCATATCTTAGAATAATCCCTTGGAAGTCATAAGAGGGCATTGAATCCACAGGAACTGGATTTACGGGTGGTTGTTAGTTGCCATGTGAGTTCTGGGAATTAAACCTGGGTCCTCTGCAAGAGCAGCCAATGCTCTTGTCCATTGAACCATCTCTCCAACTGTCAAATTAGGGAAATCTTTTAATAAGGATATCATCCTATGAATTATGTAGGATATGTAAATTATAACTTATTTTTGCAAAATACTTCTCAGTTAAAATATTCCCTATGGACAAACAACGATTTGAGAATTATTTACTGTTATAAAAATTGAAATTCACAAATTTGAAATAGATGACTTTTCCCAGTGTATCTTGAAAGCAGACCTGGAAACTCTGTTGGATCTAGAGGAATAACCCAGGTCCTGAGTCTAGTCATAGTGACAGAGAGCTAAATAAACTGCATAACATAAGTGCAGTACATAGGAGTCCATGGAAACTATTCACCTGTCTTAGGGGTGATTGTCTTTTCCAATCCAGTTATTTTGCTCAAGGCCAGTACCTTGCTTCTGCGATCTTTCATCAGCATACATTTTTTGAGCCCTCTCTGTGTGTTAGACTAATAATCTCCACATCTTCAACATGGCAACACCAGGCCCCATGCATTAACTTACTGTGTCATTCACTAACTGATGAGATAAATCCTTCCTTGCCTAAGTTGATTCTATTAGGTATTTGGCTACTACAACAAGTAACTTAATAATGTGAAATTTTGTGATAATTGTGCTACTTGCTAAAACATCACTGAGGGTCACTGAGATGGTTCAGTACATAAAGGTGCTTTGACCACTTGAGTTAATCTCTGGGACCCACATGGTGGAAGGAGAGAACTGACTCCTATAAGTTGTCCTCTGCTCTAGTTTGCTTTCTGTTGCTGTGATGAAACCATGATCTGCAGAAACTTGGGGAAGAAAGGCTTTATTGGCTTACAACTCCAAGGTTGTAACCATTCAACACTGAAGGAAGTTAGGGCAGGAACTCAAGGCAGGATCTTGGAGGTAGGAACTGAGGCAAAGACTATGGAGGAATGCTGCCTACTGGCTTGCTCAGCTAGCTTCTTATATAGCCCAGGCACAGCAGCCCAGGGATGGTACTGCCCAGAGTGGGCTGGACCCTCTCACATCAATTATCAATTAAGAAAATATCCTACAGACATAGCCACAGGCCAGGCTGATGGAGGAAATTCTTCAGTTAAGGTTCCCTTTTCCCAGGTGACTCTAGTTTGTGTCAAGTTACAAAAACTAACCACAAACATAACACATAAACACACATGCAAACACATATGCACATGCAAAAATAAATAAATGTAATTTAAGATATACTGGTATGTCAACAGCTTATCCTAAGATGCTTAAAATAAAGACAATATGACATTTTTTTCTTTGAATTAGGAGCTGAAGCTAATTTTATGTTAAAAATTCGTCCTCTGAAGAAGTACCCGGTGGATCTTTATTACCTGGTTGATGTATCAGCATCAATGCACAATAATATAGAAAAACTAAATTCTGTTGGAAATGACTTATCTAGAAAAATGGCTTTTTTCTCCCACGACTTTCGCCTGGGATTTGGCTCATATGTGGACAAAACTGTTTCACCGTACATCAGCATCCACCCTGAACGGATTCACAATCAATGCAGGTAGCTAATATTTGAAGTGGATAATAGTAAAAGAATTTTTCTGATAAAATCTCAATATTTTTTTCTGATATAAAGTTCCCAGATATTTTAATTTTGTCTTGTTAAATAAAAAACAAAGTTATTTGAGAAGGAACTTTGCTCTTATATGAAGACTTTTATCTGCAGCCCTGTTTTTATATTTCTTCAAAGATTGTTTATTCACTCTTTGTGACAAAAAAACTTAGCTAACTAGTAACCTTATATGAATTCCCAATAATCAGGTTGGGTTGACATGCATAAAAATACTTTTTTGGATATTCAATTTACCTCTTTTTTGGTTGTTGCAAATTGTTGGCTTTCAGTTTGACAAATTTTAAAGTATCTTGACATCACGACTGTTTTATGACTGTGTATATTTTACTTATGTAGTTTATGATGTGACCACAAGGAAAGTTCTGGTGCCTCATAGACTGTGGATTAGAAAATGAGAATTCGATTCTAAACAGTGCATGTCTCATCATGGAAAGAAAACTCACCTTACCCATACAAGGTCTCACATAATAGTAGTTGTTGAATTTTCATAAAATTGAGTCTGCATAGTTCTTATTCCTTAAATCATTTTATTTAAACATATTTTCTACTTCCATGAACTGTACAAATTATTTTACTCTACACATCCCAACTTACAGGAACAACTATTATCTATCAGTATAGAACTGCTTTATTTTCTTTAGGAGTTTCATGAGTCTCCTACTGTCTATTTATTTGTTATATACTTATTAATTATTGTGGTTTTTCTGAGACAAGATGTTACATTGTAGCCCAGCCTGACCTTGAACTCAGGAATCATCCTCCTAAGCACATCAGGTCCATGTGTGGACCACTCTGCCCAGCTTGAACCGTCTCTTTGAAAGAGAGCCTTTCTGAGGAATGAGTTTCTCTTTCTGACATTTCAGGGAATTTATCAAAGTCATCTTCATTTCACTCATAATTCCACAACAATCATCATTTTCAAAATTAGTGTAATATCTTTGGAGAAATCAAACAATAATATTAGATTTTGACTGAATTCCCAAAATTATTGCTCCAGATGTGTCTCTCAGTGGTTCCAGGCTAACTGCATTAGGAAATTACTGTAAATTCTTACTGTTCTTCTTAAAAATTCAATGATTATTAGCATATTGAAAACCCTTCATTGTCTTGAATTCATTAAACATCCTCAACCTTCTTCATTTTTGAACATCAGACCTTAATAGCTCAATTTTCTGCTCACAAGGAAATGTCACCAATATTGAACTTCTCTCTAGTCTTACAGATTTTTGTGTTATAAAATTTTCCCTGATAAAAAATTACTTCCTTGTCATAGCAACCACCCAATTTTACTGTTAGAATTATTTTGGAAATTTTAAGGAAGCATAGAAAAATAGACTTCACACTTCTTTTTCCCATATAGTGACTACAATTTAGATTGTATGCCTCCCCATGGATATATCCATGTGCTGTCTCTGACAGAAAACATCACTGAGTTTGAAAAAGCAGTCCACAGACAGAAGATCTCTGGAAACATAGATACCCCTGAAGGAGGTTTCGATGCTATGCTTCAGGTAGCTGTCTGTGAGGTAAGAAGTTTCATGTGTAGAGTGTCTGAGTGCTCCTTTGCAGCAGGGAGTTAAGATTTCAATTTTCTTATTGATTCACAAAGTAAAAACACAGCAAGGAAGAATATCTTCTCCTTTTGACTCATACTCAATGCCATTATTATTTATTTGGGTGTATGCCCGAGATAGAGGCAGCAGAGGCTGGGAGAGGGAAGTACATAGGTAAAGATGAAAAGCTTTAACAAAGGAGATGTTCTTTTCTTGCACCAGACCTCTGGGAAGAATGGGAAAGACCCTGTTGCCTCATTCCCATCACACCATTGTTCTGCTTGGAGACCTGGTTTGTTCGTCCTCCAGTGGACTACTGGCATCCCTAGCCAGGAACCAGCATGATCAAATGATGTGGGGAAATAGAGGGTATGCAAACACATGGGAATGCTATTTTAGAAACAGCACATCATTCAAGCCTGATTTAATGTTTGTCAACTCAAACATACTGTTTACTTGAGTCAAAAACCACAGTACAGATCCATGTTATTGTACAAGGTCTAATTACATGTTTATTTTAAGAGTCATATTGGATGGCGAAGGGAAGCTAAAAGATTGCTGCTGGTGATGACAGACCAGACATCACATCTTGCTCTTGATAGCAAATTAGCAGGCATAGTGGTACCAAATGACGGAAACTGCCACCTGAAAAACAATGTCTACGTCAGATCTACAACCATGGTAATGTAGCAATAGCCCCGTCCTAACTATGACTGCTTGGGTTAATGTGCAACTTTAAATTGTAGGCTTAGTGGTTCCTGTCCCAGGAAATTAACCTAAAGGAGCAAGACACAGAGCCAGGATGAGCCATGAAATGGCACATGGAGCAATTCAGTTTAAACACTCCTCAATAAAGTTGAGGGCTAAGGCTCTTTGTCACTGTCTAGTAGCTTTATCCCGATGAGCTCCTAAGAGCTCAACAAATTTATTTAGAATAAAAGTGACAGAAAAGCTTATTCTCCGTGTTATTCAAGGACCTTGAAAAGAAAGAAGCATGGTAAGGAGTGGTTCGAAAAATGGAATTAGTCTAAGGAATCTTGGGAACATAGTACACGGCTGAAACTAAATAAGCTAATAAAGGCCATGGGAAAGCGGGTGAAAGAAGGCAGGCTTTGTCTAGACACACCTCACTTCCCTCTGCACCCTGTCTTTGTGTAGGGCTAGTTCAACAAGTGGGCTTTTCTGAATTGCTTCCTGAAGGTTGATGTAGGCTTTGAATCACATATTTAAATGAAACCTTTTATTACTACATCTTCCCCAGGATTAGTTAATGGCAGATACGAAGAATGAGCAACAAAGCATCATTTGTGTCTGATGTTGACAGTAACTTACTAGCAAATGTTTGAACAGATGCTGACAAAGGTTCTCAGCTCCCAGACTTTATTGCCTTAGAGGGTTCTTTTCCCACAGTGCTTCTAGGCCCAAAGCAGTGTCTAACAGTTCTATTAATTCAATAGTGAGGTCTAAACACCATAACTATGCCATAACAACTTGGCATTCAGTAAAAAAATACATACAAATGAATACATAGGAACTTGTTTCTATCATTTTAGTGATTTCTTTTTTGCATGTGTATATGCGTGTGATGTATATGCCTATGCGCATGTATGTTTCTGTGTTTGTGTGTATTGCATACATGTGGTGACTGGAGATTGACATTCAATGTCTTCTTGATTACTCTCCTTCTTATACAGTGATAGCATCTCTCACTAGAATTTCGAGCTCACTGATTCAGCTAGTCTATCCAGCAGGCTGGATTGCTTCAGGGATCCCCTGTCTCTGCCTTTCAAGTACAGGAATTGCACTCAGGCCATTATGCTCACCTGGCATTTACATGTTGCTGGGAATTCAAACTCTGATCTTCACACACCTGTGTATAGACAACACTTTACCTGTTGAGCCATCTCTCCAGCCCAGTAAATTACTTTTTTATAGGAATTTCCCAAACTTTGTATTCAGATTAGGTATTGTCATCCTCATTTCCTGTTCTATACTGAATTCTGCACTGAAGAACTAAGCAAGATATGACACCATTTAGAAGACTAGTGACAATGTCACCTTAAAACTCACCCACATCCAGCCAGTAGTTTATGAACACCTGAAAAACACATCACTGTGTTGTTTCCCTTGAAAATTTAAAATATTTCATGCTGCTGTTGTGAGTATATTGGTGTATTGGAGTGCTCCTAAGCACCTGCACATAGTTTAGAACTATAGTATTAGACATACATAAATCGGTGTGGTTCCCATGTACGAAATTCAAATAGAATACTCTACGGTGACTGAGGAAATAGCTCAGTCAGTAGAGTGCTTACTATGCAAACATGAGGACCTGAATTTGATCCCCAGCACCCACATTAAAAAAAAAAAATGGGTGTGGTGGCTCTCACTTATAATCCCAACACTGGAGACAGGTGGAGACAGGAGGATCATTGGAGCTTGCTGTCCAAATTGGTGAGTTTCAAGTTCAGTAAAAGGCCTCATCTCAAAAGCTAGAGAGCAACTGAGGAAGACGGCCAATGCTGACCTCATGCTTTCACATGCACATGCACACATGTGAATGCACACCTCTGCACACAGACCAAAGAACACTCCACTGGACCTTTTGGAAGTCAAAGGATGCTACTGTATTATCATGTAAAATAAGTTCAAGTCAATGGTAGAGTCCTTGTCTAGTATTCATGATGCTTGGCTTTCAATCACCAGCACCACATAAACTGGGCATGGTAGTTTACGCCTGTAATCCCAGCATTCAGAAGGCGAAGGCAAGAGGATTAGAACTGCAAGGTCATCCTCAGTTATATAACAAGTTCAAGGCTAACTTGGGTACTTTAGACCCTGTTTCAAAAAATACAATAAAAGGAAATAACAAATAAATAAGTTCAGGTGACATATTTAAAATCCAGGCTTTGAAATCCCTCTAGGAATGCCTTTCACCTGCTAATTCTCTTTGTATGCAGCTACATTTAACTTCTAGCTGCTCATTTCTTATCTAGCCTTCTTCTATTTAGCCATTTTTTACCTGAGGTAGTAGCAGTCTAATGTAATCCTTGACCAATGGCAGAGGAGACAGGAGGAACCACTCTATTATGAAACAAAGAGAATCTTCTTTACTTAAAGGAGATATCCTGCTATTCTTTTGAAGTTTTGCCAAGTCACTGATGTGATTTCTCCAACAGTGTATTTGGAAGGATGCTGTGGTGCATCTAGGAAGGAATCTTTGAGCAAAACTAAAATGCTGGCATAATTTTAGACCTATGTCATATCATAGAACCTTAGGGAGATAAGTCATAATTATGGTAGGATTTTAGGCAATGTTTGGGTTCTTGTGATATCAGAATATTGGGTGATATATCATATACTTTTTTGTGTTATTGGTCATTATTCCACATATTTAGAGGAATGGCCCTGTTGTACATGTCACTGGTGTGATTTATTGGATAAATCGAAGAAGAATGTACTTGCTAATAACTTAGAAGAATACTTTTATCTTAGTTACCCCAGATTTATCTTTTAAAGGATCCTCTTTCCTAGCAACACTGGCCAAAACCAGTAGAAGCAGATGCATTTCACTTGATTCCTTGTTTGTACAGTCATATGTGTAAAATATGCAACTAGTCTGAAGCTTTCTGTGTCTTAGGTTACCTTGACACCGCCTCTAGATGAATATTTACCTGATTATTTTTAAATGCTCTTCATTTTTTCCTATCAAGTACTATGGAGAAATTTTAAATTTTATATCATTTAGGCATGAGTCAGACACTTCTGCATCTCCAGAAATCAACACGAGTAATGGTATCACACTTTTTGACCCAAACCTCTGGTTCTTCTATTTATAAGGGGAAATAACAACTAAATAGGCCTTTTATATGTCTAAATTATGTGGCCCAGAGTTATACTTTTGTTTACATAACTGTTTCATAGTGTAACTCCCAGACTAATCGCTACCACCAGCTTTTGAGTCTGGTTAGCCGAAAGCGCCTTAGCAAACACTTTGCATGCAGTATCAAATTCATCTTTCCAACAACTCCATATCGTAGTTACCATCATCACCCTTTTACAAACAGGAAGATTAAAGTTCAGAAAGGCTAATTTAAATCGCCTAAATACAAAAAGCTAAGAAAATTCCATTTCAACTCCTTTTTCCTAAATGCCATAATAAAAACATTAGTGGTAATGTATCTTTCAGTGTTCCTAGTAATAATGACAGTTTAAAGTATAGCATTCTCTCTAAAACAGCAGATGTTCATACGGAAGTATTGATGGTAGGGAAGATATGTTATTAATGCTTAGGGCCTGGATTTCATCCTGTCTTTTTACCCAGCTCCCGCAGGGTTATTCCCAACTCCAGTCAGAACCGTCCCAGAAACACTCACCCCACCCTTGGTAAAGGCCAAGACTAGTACAAAGATCTTCAGTCACAATGACAGGAGACTAAGGAGCAAGTCTATGGAAGAATTCTGGGGAACTTGATCAATGGGACGGACGTTCAGACACTGATGTGACTCCCAGGCCTTAGTGCACAAATGCAAATAGGCAGGGTTCTGCCCTCATCTCTTTGTATGCACATGTGCATATAGTGTATTTACTCACGGTCTCTGTTTAGGCTTTCTTCCCCACATAGCTTTTCACGTGTCCCATCACACTCTGGCCAGTTAACCTTCATTTTTTTTCACATAACCCCTCAGAACCCCCTACCTCTGGCTCCATCAGTCATTCCTTTTGCCGAAGCTTCATTGGGATAGACGAGATTCTAAAGGGATCAGCATCTTAGACTATGGTCTTGGAAAGCATAGGGTGTATTACTGAAAACTTGAGTGTCTTACATATGAAAATACTCAACACTTTGTTCCTCTGCACTCTTAAAACATGTACTTGTCTTTTAGAATGTTATAGATTATATTCAAGTTTTTTTTTAACTGCAGGTAAAGAAAGCAAGGCTAAGACTTCACTAACTTAATCCATAACTTTGCTATATGCATGAATAGGCTTTTATGATTGTTACATTTATTTTAGTGCT